CCTAGTTCTTGTACTCCTTACTCTGGTTCGTTGCAATGCGAGTTTACACTTTCGCAGGACGCCCTAACAAAGCCATATTTGGTCACCATCGGCCGGTTGCTATTTTAGCTATGGACGTGGGTTAGTTTGTCGCCTTTCTATACCCTGGAGGGCTAAGTTCACCATCGGGTCTGCGCTTGAGGAGAATGTGGAGGAAAGGAAAATTTTCCGCTTCCTTTTTTCTCTTGTGAATTGGATAAATGGGAATTTGCCTTTCAGCTGACTCTGAAATGCTGAAATGATGCCTTTTGAAGTCTCACCGGATTGTTGTTCACGTGCCAGCCTCAAAGCCCAAGTTCTTAATGGTTGAAAGCGATATTTGCCAGCTATTTTAGGGCTCATCTTGCAACTTGTGAAACCCATGGGTGCCCATTTGACTTCTTTAAATATTCTACCATAGAAAGTGAAAACATTTCGGTTGAAAAATGTGAAGACTTGTTTTAATTGTTTAGAAGGCACCTCTTTGTATCGTTTTTATCTTCGGGCTATGCGTTAAAAAAATCGGGAGCTAATTTCCGTGGAATTAATGCGAATAGGGAGATCGCATTGGTCAAGTGGGATGGTTTTCGCTCGGATGTCGACGAGTATTTGACAAGTTGAATTGATAGAGGCCCTGGAACCTCGAGGGTAACCTTACAATCTTGGAATCATTTTTGTACGATAGGTTCATGGTAAAAATTAATGCGACAAAGACTACGTCGGATCAGGTCAGACCCTTTTATTTTGCCCCTCTGTAAACGATAAGAGTTCAAAACATCCTTTTTTAAACCGTAAGCGTAATCATTACCATAACCGATATGGATACTCGTTGATTCACGTTCGCTGACAGCTAACGAACTCCCTTGTCCTGCTCTGCCCTGTCTTAGGCCCCATTTCTCGGACCCTGAACACAGTCATGGGAGCTAGTAGTCTTAGGCAGCTACTGTAATGCCTATACTGTCCGATATTGTGCTCGGGCTATTTTTGTGCGAAACGCTTCAACGATAGTTACTGAAACGGCTTGGTAAAAAGGAAGTTTGCCGTGCCCGTTAGGTACCCCTACCTTAAGAATTCTGTCTGACGGGAGGGGTATTAAAAGGGGCTTTGTGGTTGAGTCGCATCGCAGGGAAGAAAAAATAAATTGAGAAGTAAAGTGTATAAAAGCAGAAAATAAAAGGAACAATTGTTAAAATAACCATGTTTGGCACGCGAGAATCCAAATTACAAATGCAACCAATATGAAACAAGAATGGCGCAAAAGGGTCCGCAACTGGGCTACACACCAATATCGACTGTATATCGAAATTGAGAGAGTAAACTAAAACCATGAAAGATAGGCTTTCTCGCATTAAAAAAATCGCAATAGCTTCTGATGCATTTGGACAGATACTGTAGTATGATAAGCCGAAAAGCAACCACATATCGCTTTAAAATCCAAGTTTACTTAAAAATTACCCTAACTAAAAATTTAACTAAAATTTAACTAATAAACTAAACAATTAACTAAAAATAATAAATGTAAAAGTAACCACAGGACGCTAAGGAGTTCAGTGTTGGTGGGTGCAGTAATCAGCATAATTACACCTACTTAAATGCATATAGTAGTTATTTAAGTATAGTTGTCTAACACCCATGGCAACCCAACAAGCACCGACGACGTTTAATGCTGTCAGCGTAAAATTACGGCAACTTTACCATTTCATTTAGGTCCTACTTGTAATGTACGACAAACCTTGGTACAAAAAGATTCAGAGTCAACGAGGGAGCTGGGGATGAGGGCGAATGTTATAACATAGATAGAGCATGAATTCTGATCTGGGCCTAATATCTCGTACAAGCGCTAATTGTCAAAGCTACAGACATCAACAGACCTGACACAATTTACAGAACACTATGCTTAAACAATGGCCACCTTGCAAAACACTCGATGTCTACAGGAAAATGTTTCGATAATATGCTGCGTAGAACAAGACATAAAACGTTTCTCTATATGGACACCAATCTTCAAACTGATAATAGCTTATACAAGGACGGCGCGAACTCATTAACAGTCCGTGGCCGAGACTGTGTGTCCCTTACGCTAGGTAGTGCTTTCTCACGATCGATCTAGGAAGATTTCGCATGTAGGACAAATTATATCATTCCCTTGGTGTTTGATTTCAATCCCCTTCTTCATCTCAATCAAAACAGACTGAATTAAAGGAGTCAACTGCCACAGATGCATAATATTATTCATTTATTTTTAGGAAAGCCTCAAAGAGTTCCAATCAATGTCATCTGAAATCCTAAAACTGATCGACAAAGCTCATAAAGTGAGTCCGGTGTACCAGCGCATACAACCACTGGACCGACCCACGATGGGTATGATGCTGTGTGACTACAAGACCACAAACTTCAGTCTCCGTGCTGGTCAACAGGTCATTGTTATGGACAATAATATGCCGACGCCGTCTAGCAGTAGTGATGAAATTGCAGCTGGGAGCACTCAAACGGAGAGTACTACAACCACTACTACCACTTCCATGGGTACTCAGTGTGTTTGTATGCAACGACCAATTTCACCATCACATCAAGCCATGCCTGGTGACAGATCTGTCACAGATGAGAGTACCACTTACACAGACGAAACTGAATGTTCTACCGACGAGACTAGTCACTGCAGTGGGACCGTCACTTGTTCCAGTACCACATGCATGCAAAAGGAAGCAAGGATGTGGAAAGTGCGTACGCCCGACTGCGCGATGACCATGTCCGTGCCGTCTGTGGCCATTTGGTTGTGCGAAACCGACCGTCAAGCCATTGACCACTCATTTCAGTAAGTGCTTGATCTTCGATCATTAACTTGCAGTTGATCTGTTATTAACAAGAAATTTATTTCTGTCCTACTTACTAGGCTGATATTGTAAGAGTGGAGAGTATTTAGTCTTGATTTAGGTAGACGTAAAACAGTGCATCAGTTGAGGCTGGTGCGAATATATGACATTATGTCAAAGAGCCTTCATCCGAATTTAAAGTAGAGAGCTAATCAGGGTACAAAACTGTCCGATTTTAAGGTGTTCGTTCTATAGCTGGTCCTTTCAACCTGTGTCCTAGTATGTCCAAACTTGGACAACAGAAATCTAAAGCATCGT